AAATAAAAGCTCAGGCCGGGTGTATTTACATACGTGCCCAAGGTCCCAAGGGGAGAGTGGAGAAGAGATTGCAGCATGACCATTCCTCCTTGGGGGTGATTTCTTGCTTTCTGTCTCTCTCTCACAAGCACACGCACACTATAGCAAAAATGTCTTTAAAAAACGGATTAGATCCCTGAGTTTTGTGATGCCAAAGGAATAGAGCAAACCATAAACTATTTTATATATGCAACACAGGTATGCAATACACACACGTATATGAAGAGAGATAATATACTTAAGAAATGTTTTTGAAACTTTTTCTTTTTTTTAAGATTCTTGCTCTAGGGAGCGTGTACTTGCTCAGAGAGACCGAAAGTGAGAAATCACCACCCTGACAGGTTGGCCATGCCACAATCCCTTCTCCTCCATTCTCCTCTCAGGATTTTGGGCACACACGCACTTGCACCCAGTGCGAGTTTCAAACCTCTGGGCCTAACACTCACCGTGGTCAGCCAGATATGAGTCCATCTACTGGTCCCTAAAAGGTTTTTTTCTTAGCTGTCTTCTCTTTTTATCTAAATCAAAACCATATGAAACTTGCCTGAGCTAGACACAGGTCTAGCTGTGGCTCTTGCATGGCCATCTTGCAGGGCAGGCGTGTCATCACCAATGGTTCTTTCCTTCTCGGTGCAGAGGCCAGGCCCAATGTGGCAGGGAATCCGACTTGCCGCTCTGTCCTCTGCCATCCTCCCACACTGAGGGGTCTGTAGGGTCAGGCCTCACTTAATCCTCGATATTGAGGTGATTGATATTTGAAGGAGTATTACATTCTACCTTAGCTTCTTATCCACGAAGACAAATGTTTTACTGATAAGACTAAAGAGGTCAGTTCTTTGTGTAGTACAAAGCGTGGTTCATCATTTTCTTTACTCTCAAGTGGCCTGTCAGCAAGTGAGTCTGAGTTATGTTTTATGCTCTGCTTTCATTTGGCTCACCAAAATTGTTTCTTTGACGCAGAAAATGAGATACAGTCACGTGTACTTGCATTGTTGAAACAGCATCCATATGTTTGGAAATACGTAGGTAGTAGATATTTGAGGTGATATATTCCATTCTGATACTATATCCATGAGGATTCATTATGAATATTTCATCTAATAACAGAAAAGGATTAATGAGCACAGTTAGTTCTCCCTCCTTCATAGAGTATTTTTTAAAATAGCATTCTAATTTACACCAAAGTAAGATGCCACCATTAAAATAAATGCAGATTACCAAAAAATAAAACCCCTTAATCCCACCCTGGGACCTCTCTACTGCCAGTACCCTGGGGTTACGATGTTTGGGATATTTGTTATTTTTGAAGTTGAAAGAGGGCTGGTGCGGGGTCAAGCTACCATGGCGTAGGGACACGCCGGTGTTCCACTGAGTTTGTTCTGAGCTGCAACAGCCCCACTCTGGGGACTCCCTCCTGCTGCAGTCTCCCTCCCTCCCCGGCAGCTCATTCTCGGCCAGGTGTTGCCATCGTCCACAGCTGTTGCTCTCACCCCCTTGCAGACTCGCCCAGGAAGGAGGTGTACTTCATGGCCATCATTGACATTCTCACGCACTATGATGCAAAAAAGAAGGCCGCCCACGCTGCGAAGACAGTCAAGCATGGCGTAAGTACCTTGGGGTGGGGGGGTGTTTCTGCCTGCCTCGCTCCTGGACCCTGGGTGCCATCTGTAACACAGGGCACTCCTTTCCACGGAGCCATGCCAAGTCCCTTAGGGATTCTTGTTCCCCGCTGGAGGGGGTCACGTTCTGAGTGCAGGGTACACAGGCTGCCACCAGTCCCTGCGCATCCCCTGTGGCTCCCAGTGAATCATTTAAACCCGGCCACGGCTCTTCTTTGTACCCCGAGGACATCAATAACCAAGGGCAGCACTAGAATATTATACAGGGGTTTTTCTTTTTTTTTCTTTTTCTTTTTTTTGGCTTGGAAATGTTCCAGAGATATAAAAGTGCTGAAGATGGCCAAGGGTTTTAATAGGAGCTGTTCAGAACTGAAGCGCTAGTCTCTGTTTAAAACACTTCCAAGTGGCTCAGGATTTCATTTTCTCTCAGGGAATTGTGTTCTTTCCTGTTGTGGAAACACTGAGCACAGGATCAAAGTTCTGCGTATTAATTCCTCTCTTGTGTCGTGCTTGCCTGGCAGTGTCGCTGTTCTAGGCTCATGTTAGTTTGTTGGCACCCACGAGAGCCTGCGAGGGAGGTCCGAGAGGATCCCCTTTCATCCCGTGGAAGACACTGAGAAAGATGGCTTATGGGGTGACTTGCCAGGCTCCATCACTAAGACCTGGGAGAGGCGGAGTTCCTCCCCAGGACCTTGCCGATGCCAGTCTGTGTGTGTACCCTCCCTGCTGCTGCCAGGCAACCCCACAGGCCCAGCTGGTCTTCCTCACTCGTACAAAACCCATTGTACGCCTGTGTGGAAAGGTCCGTTTTGACTCTCCCGGTGTTAACGCTGGAAAGAGAGGTGCCACTAGCAGGCTATAGAGCTGACCAGGTAACGGCAGCACCCACAGACTCAATGAAAGGCTCTTCTTCTCTACTTTGAAATCAGACAGGCTGTCATTACAGAAAGGAACCGGCCTAGAACCATATTCCACTTGCCAAAGAAATACTGCAGGCACATTTGCCAATGAGGGGTCAGAGGATAGGGAGTGTGTGTGAGGGTCCTGCTGTGAGCGTGCACTGGCCTCCTTGCCCAAACTGGGGTCAGAAACTTCTGGGTACTTTTTTTTTTTTAAGAGATTTTTGCTATAGGGCATGTGCGTCCACCAGAGAGACACAGAGATAGACAGGGAGAAATCACCTTCCAGGAAGGATGGCCATGCAATAATCCCTTCTCCATTCTCCTCTCAGGATTTTGGACATGCACACAGGTGCACCATGCATGAGTTTTAAGCCACTGGGTCTGGGACTTGAACCATGGTCAACTACATGAGAGTCCAGTGATACAGCCATTATGCCACCTGCTGGTCCCATCTGGGTGCCATTTTTAAACTCTGATCATGGGCCTGCTGACGGTATGGCAGTTAAGGCAGCCTGATCCCACATGGCCAACTGCAAAGTTCAAGTCCTGGACCAGTGACTTAAAAAAACATACCAGGCGGTGCGCGTGCATGCTCCAATCCCAAGAGGAGATTGGAGGAGAAGGGATTGTGATGTGGCCATCCTCCCTGCGGGGGATGCCTTTCACTTTCTTTCCCTCTCTCTCTCTGTGCCTCTCCAGTGTAATGCACTTGCCCAATCACAAAGTAAATAAACTCCGATTGTGCCCAATGCCCACCCCTTTCCCTGATCCTGGGTCCAGCTTAGGAGATAGAGGGCAGTGTCTTCACGTCGCCCCGTGGAGATTCTCACAGCAGCTTGAGAACCAGGGATCAACCCGTCTCACTCTCCACTGTGTGACCTTGAGGAAACACCCTTGGACTTTCAGTTCCCTCAGCTGATAAGGGGGTCCTGATGCCTCATTGATGGGGTCTCATGGGGACACTGAGGTGACTAGGCCAGACACTGGGCAACTGTTTTCCGAGTGCTGGTTCCTGTGCTGGGCACCATAGAGATTGGTGTGCCCTGTGACCAGAATGACTCCATGTTCATCTCCCCACTGAGTTACCAGTTCAGCTCCACACAGCCTAAAACCATGGACAGTTTGCAAGAATGGGATGTCCCTCCATCCCTTAGCAAAGGAATGCTATACCGAGCTGCTGTTGAGACCGTTCTCTGCCTTCGAGGCACACACACCTCCGTGGAGACCCCGGCAGCCAGGCCTGGAAATTGCAAATTCCCTATGAACTCCAGTATCTAAAAATAGCACTGGTGACAGCAAAATTCTGGTCTTCCCTTTGCTGCTCAGGAAACTCTAGTCACTACCTCGGGTGTGCTGGCCAGCACCGTGGTTCTGTTAATAGAGAATCCCTAGGGGCTTTCTGCCAGGGGCCAGGCCACCCCACGCTGCAGGTCTCTGTGATGGGGAAACAGTGGCACCCCTGTGCCCTGCTGCCGAGGAAAGCCAGTGCTGCCCCCTGGAAGATGCAACCAGCAGCATGTCTGGCTTGGTCCTGGTACCACCAGGAAGGAGCCCGGGCAGTGTCACCTCTGCCTGGGACAGTTGTCCAAGAGCCCATGGCTGCTGGAGTGACCCCTCACCACCTCTGTTTCTGAACACTGACATGTCTACCTCATCATAAACTAAGAGGGTCCTGAAAAATCATCACAGTCCTTCTGTTACTGTCATTTTCCTCTCGCTAAATGTTTATATTTTCGTCATCTCCAAGTTGTCTCCAGGCTGCCTCCCTTGAAAGTGTTGTCCCCAGGGCTTCTGAACATAGGTCACACAGATTCCATGACGGTTGCTAGAAACATCCCCAAAGTGATGATTTGATGTGTTTAATTGGCAGCAGTCACAGCCCGTGTGACAGTAGTCCCCGATGTTCATGCCACCCTTTGCCTCAATCAGATACTTGTTCCTAAGAGCCCCAGTTCCTCAGCCGAGAGAGCCAAGATATTTTGAGTTGTGTTTTAAGAGCAGAGGCTGCAGGGCTGAAAACTACTGGCTGAGTATTCCACTGTAATTGGAAATAGCTGTAAATATTCTGTAGTAATTGTGAGCAGTTATAAGTATGATAATCAACATTCCTGTCCTTTACAACTGCCCAGGCTGGAGCGGAGATCTCAACCGTGAACCCAGAACAGTATTCAAAGCGCTTTTTGGACTTTATTGGCCACATCTTGACGTAACCTCCCGCGAAGCCTCGGACAGACGTGAGCGTGGGAAGGACAGAGGTGGCTTCGGTATAGGAAAAGTGAAAACCAAACTCAATGAAGCACTCGTCTTGCAGGAAGCAAACCTCCTTGTTTACATCTTCAGGCCAAGATGACTGATTTGGGGGCTTATCGCTTTAACAGCTACTTGATATTTCCCACCATCATTTAGCTATTTCTGACGCGCGTGTGTGTACTTCTGTGTGCGTGTGTGTGCGTGCGTCTGTGCGTGCCCGCATTTTAAAATAATTAATTAATTAAAACGGATCAGCTTCGGTCAGAATGTGTTACAACAAAAACCCTCTGATTCCAGCTGCGGCTGAATGAGTGAACGAATGAATGAGCATATGTGGGGGGAGAGGAGGACGTGCATGTCAGACCAACCACGTCGACACCACGCAATAAACTGTGGATCAGTTTATTATGTTTTTTTTTTTTATTTTTAGTTGAAAGATGACAAGACAGTATTCATAATAATAATGAAGATAATAATAATGATAATAATACTGATGATGAAGAAGAAGAGAGGAAAATAAACTTAACTACAAATGTCACACTTCTACCCCGCACGCAGACACTCCTTAATCGTTGTAACCCAGGCCCCCAACGCTAGACAGAAGAATGCTGACTTCTCCGCGTGCACCGGTTCTGGATCCTGTCCCCACCAGCGTCAGGACCCCCAGTGTCCCGGAGCAACCACTCCTCCTCTGACAAGAAGCGGACGCCCCAGTGACTCTGTCTACATCTTCACCACAGCCCATGCGTGCAGGAAAACTGCTTGCCTCTCTTTCCTCGCCTGGAGTCTCTTCATTGTTACACCCTTCTGTTGCAGTGTAGGAATTAATGCTCTAAAAATACAAATAAAGCTGACCTGAAATGTGCATAGTTTGGGGCAATGGCATCTCTCTCCCCTGTAGTGGGAAAATAAGCAAAGCGTTAAAACTCTGAATTCTCCTGTCAGTGAACGCAAATCTGAATTATAAGATGTTTCTGTTGGATCCCTGCTTACTCAGCAATATTATGTAATGAATTAGCCCTTACCTGAAACCTTCAGTTTTACTGTTTACATTATTAGGAAAACAGGGAAATTTTTGAATCTTCAAAATTTAATGTACAGCGTGTGATTTCTGAAGTTTACATGTAAAGTCATTCACGGTGTAGGTGACGTGTGTTTGTCATAGTTTGAGATGTATCCTGCAGGTATGTGTTCAAGTGAATGTTTTATTCAAAGTCTTCTAGGCAGTCCTTTACAATAAAAGGAAAAGGAGTGTTTGATCCACCCCCCCCAATACATTTACCAACTTACTGATGTTTTTAGGAGATTTAACCTGAATCTGGTTATGTAAGTTCATTGCCCTAAACTGTGCTGATTGCATTTAATCAAGTTATAAATTTCCAACATTGACCATGTACCTACCTACCAGCTCTCCTGCATTTTTGGAAAGGCGTCAAGCTAAAATCTTAGGCTCACTTAGGTTATCAACTTATACGCTGTGCGCAAGCCGTGCCTTTGAAATTGTGTTTAAAACATGAGATGGTTTCTGTAGGCAGTTCTAGAAAAGGGAAAGAAAAAGCTACTCTTCGGTAATTACTTACAGCTCTGCAAATCCGCCCGCCATCCTGCCTTTCTCAGTAACTTTACTTCAGGGCTGGCCGGATGGTCGCCACGCTCAGCGGGTGTGGGCATGCCCTATGGTGTCGGGAGGCCTCAGCAACGCCAACCCTAGGACGTCTGATGACTTTACAGATTTGGTTATCAACAGCGGATGATAACACCACTGTAACATAGTTGTACAAATCTGTATTTTCTGTATTTAAAATAATCAATACTGTGATTTGGATCCTCCCATCCACTTCCATTCATTCTGGCATTGGATCAGTTTCAGGTTCTGAAGTTCTCTTGTGTCTTCGTCCTCAGACTGCAAGAGTGAGACCCTGAAGTAAGGAGAAGGAACGTGTGCATTATTCCAGTCATTCCTTCTTTCCTCTGTGGCCAATCTGTGTATGCTTTTAGAAGTTTACAAAATGCTTTATTTTTGTCACGAGCTGTTTCTGTCTTTGTTTCTGTTGAGAAGCTCTGGACAGAGTGAAAACGTTTGCCTTGTATCTCCTCGTGCTAACCGTACACTCCAGTCATGAGCCGGGCTTTACGAAATAAAGCACTTTGACTCACAAAGTGAATCCTTGGCTCCTCTGTCTCACTCGTGTTTCTCTCTGTTGCAAACAAATTTTAAATACGCAGTACTGAGTTTATTTTTAGCTAACCCTTGAAGAAGTGAAAGTGAATCTTTTTCTGTTTCTAGAGTCTTGCCTTCAGTCTGTGAACTGTTTTATCAATAAAGCATAGAAATGTTCATGACAAAATTAACTTCCAGCAAGAGGGACAGAGGGAAAAAAAATGTCTTATTTTTGTCCTGTAAGTTCGTATCATTTTAGTTTGGATCGACCTTAGTTCTTGTGTGTCTGCATTTTTTGAAACATCATTGGTAATACCATCAGTAGATAGAAGAATTTTTGTAAGGTCTTCCACATCATTAGTTAACAAACACTGTTCTGCTCCAGCACTTGTTTTGAAAATGTGTATTTGGGGCCAGCAGGTGGCATAGTGCTTAAGGTGCTAGACTCCCACATGGCCAACCACAGTTCGAGTCCCAAATGTGTGACTTGAGAATCACACCCGGCGTTTGTGTGTGCGTGCTCAAAATCTCAAGAAGAGAATGGAGGAGAAAGGGATTGCGGCACAGCCATCCCCCCTAGAGGGTGATTTCTTCCTTTCGCTCTCTCTGTCTCTCTCTCTAGCAAGCACATGCACCCTATGGCAAAAACCTGAAAAAAGGAAGAAAACGTGTATTTGTTCTAATGCCACTACTAGGTATGTTAGGAAATAATTTGCATGTCATGCTCATTTCACATTGCTGTGCCATTTGGCGTGTGAGGAACAGTTAAGTACACACAGAAAAGTGCACCCAACTGAGCTGCACACACAGACCAACGTACCTCAGACATGGACCAGACCTCAGTCCACTGTGTGGGATCAGTCACGCTTGTCTATACCTGGAGTTGGGCCTTTACACCTGACATCACGTCACCTCCCTTCTTCCACTATATAATCACTCAAGAGCTAAAACCCTTCTGATGCCCCCTGCCACAGGCACAGCCAGTCTCTCTTAAGATAACCTGCCCTATTTTCTGTGGTATGTATGTATTTCCTTATCGCTTAGCATGTTTAAATTGTGCTACTGTTTTCACGGAGTTCCTTTTTTTATTGTGTGTAACTGGTGAAGTTTTGGGGATCCCTCATCCCCTTTTGCCTGTGAGCTCTGTAGTTTCTGTTGCATTATTTTGCCTAGGACAGTGAACTCAAAATACATAAAATCCGTTATTGCAGAATTGATTGTGATCCATATGAACCTTTAATTCAGTTTTCTTTGTAGATAGCTTGACTGTATTCATTTTCTCCTCTTTTTGGTTTTCATTTCTGGGGTCGAATTCATAGTAACCCCAGAAAATTTCGTGGTTCTAGCTCATAGGAGGACAAAAGCTGGCATGAAGCATGAATCCTTAGTGCAGCACCTTGGGCGGTGGTGGGTAAGCGGTCGGTGCAGAGCCCCGGGACTGCGGCGCAGTGTGCTGTACGGAGTGTGTACGTGGAGCAGTGAGGCCACAGGTAGAACAGACCTCAGCTCTAGAACGCAGCTTCAGTGGTGTCTGACAGCTCTCAGCATCACTGCAGCCAGCCCTTCTAGAAATGCTTTTTTAATTGTCAGAGGGTACATGCACTTGTCAGAGAGAGATGGAGACATACAGAGGGGTGGGGGAGGAGAGAAAGCACCCCTCCATGGGACATGGTCACACTGCCATTCTTTCTCCACTTCTCCATCCTTCTGGGGCTCTGGGCCCACACCACACACCCCCAGCATGTTTTTCAAGCCTCTAGGTCCGGGACTTGAACTACACAATTGGCCACATGGAATCCAACTCCCTTGAACACTAAGCCTCAGGGTCAGCCCTCTAGGGATTTTTATTTATTGATTGATTTTTACATTTAATCACCATACATCATTACAGTATACAAAACATATTTTTTCCCAGCATGAATACAGTGTATATCTGTCAAGACAGACATTATCCTACACATTATCATCAAATAAGTTTTCATTTTTGTGTCAATTAAATGTATTGGTTTATTTTTCCCTGTTCTACTCCCTCCTTCTACTACCCACTCCCTGTTACCCCCCCATCTCTACTATCCACAGTTGCCTTCCCTGCTGTTAAACCTTCCAGTCTCTGTTCCTGCTGTAAAGCACAGACATTCCATATGTAGGATGTATTAAGTGGGGACATCCAAAGTCTGTCTTTCATGGTCCGACTTGATTCGCTTAGCATGAAGCCTTTCGTATTCATCCACTTTGTATCAATGCCAGGGTTTCATATGTTTGTTTGTTTGTTTGTTTGTTTGTGGCTGAATTGTATTCCATAGAGCACATATGCCACATTTTTTCAATCCACTCTTCTGTTTTTGGACATTTGAGTTGATTCCATGCCCTAGCAAATCGCAAATAATATTGCAATAAACATGGATGCGCAAGTTTTTATGACAGGGTTTTCCCACCCTTGGAATAAATACCTAAGAGTGCAATTATGACCCTCTAAGAATTTTTAATCAGCACAAAATCAGAGATTCTGGTGACTGCCGTACATGGTATCCCTTCTAGCTCTCAAAATAATCGGCCCCATCTCTTCCTCTGTCCCATCTTCTTAAATGACATTTCATTCCACCTCTATCACATAATGTGGAGATTGCTATATTAAAAACATAAAAACCATTCTTCCCCAAGGGCATTTTGAATTCCTCTGCCTAGAGGTCCCCTCCACAGCCTTGGTCAGCCTCTGGCCAGCCTTTGCTGGTCTACGTTCTCATTATTCTCAGTTGGTATCTTTAGACAATCTGCATAGTGAAGAGCACTCACAGTGAGGGGACCCAGAGACCAATGAGGCATCCGTCCTCTGTTTATTTTAAATGGCTAGCCTTCCCACTGATGGCTTATTTTAAATACTTCTTTGTAATTGTGCTCTCATTCTCCCACCCCCTTTTTTCTGTACTCTTGTGGTATATGTACTCTCATGTGGCTTCTTATTGGTGAGAGCAGGAGTCAGCACATCACACCCTGAGGGCCCAATCCAACCCACTGAATGACTTTGATTGTAAATAAAGTTTGATTGGAACACAGCCACACTTACATATTTACTGTTTTCGATGGCTGCTTTCAAGCTACCGTGGCATAGTTAGAGAGGTGACGACAACCTTACAGCCCACGAAGCCTGAAACATTTACTATCTAGACCTTTACAGAAAGAGTTAACTGATCCCTGAAATAGAGGGCCTGATTTTAGAATCACAAAGTACTCTCTGCAAAACCAGGGGCTTCAGCTACAATTCCTTCATGTTTTTCCTTGTCCGTGATGTGATAGAGTGAAGTTTGGAAAACGCTAACAAAACTGAACATTAAAACCTTGACACATTTTAGGACTGAATTATGCTTTTTAATAAAACTGTCATCAATTTATCTATAGTGATGAATGACTGCCTTTAGGGCTCCTTGGTTTTCAAATCAGGATGACAGGTACTTGGGTTTGGGGTTTATTGTCTTTTGTTTAAGAAAAGAAAGAAAAACCCCCTAAAGTCTAGAAAGCAGGTAGGTCAGCTCTCTCCCTTTGCCCGGTACTCTTTATTCCTTGAGTATGTTACTACTCCATAGATTTGCTCCAGTAGGATTCCCTGTCTTCAAGATCTTCAGAATAGTGATAAAGTCTCTAAGATGTAGTAGTGACACTCTGCAGGCTAGCCGGTGGCATGGTGGTTAAGGCAGCCAGAGTCCACATGATCGACTGCAGTTCAAGTCCCGGACCAAGTGGTTTGAGAAACGCTGGACTGTATGTGGATGTGTGTATGGGTGTGGGCGTGTGTATGCATGCACACACCCAAAATCCCAAAAGGAGAGAGAGGAAGAAAGGATTGTAGTGTGACCGTTCCCCATGGGAGGGGTGCACTCTCTCATTTTTCCTCTCTCTCTCTGGTAAGCATATGCTCTCTGTGAGGCAGATCTACATGAGAGAGATGTCAGTGCATTCCCGGAGGCCTCCCTGGGTGTGGATGCCTATGATCCAGGGCTAGCTGAAGCTAGGGGTGGATTGTGATGTCAGGACCCTGTTGGGAGGACTGCCTATCTGTCTCCTGTCTGTCTGTCTGTCTCTCTCTCTCTCTCTCATGTGGAAAAATTACCTTTTTAAGGGACCAGCATTGGCGTAATGCCTATGTTGCTGCAATTCCATGTAGTCGACCACAGCTCGAGTCCCGGACCCAGTGGCTTAAACTCACACCAGGCGCATGTGCGTGCGTGCCCAAGATCCCGAGAGGAGAATGGAGGAGAAGGGATTGCAGCGTGGCCATCTTCCCTGGGGGGTGATTTCTCGCTTTCTGTCTCTCTGTCTCTCTCTGTCTTTCTGGCAAGCACACATGCCCTATAGCAAAAACCTCTCAAAAAAAAATTAACTTTTTAAAACCGCACATCTTGATTATCTCATGTCCATGTCAAATCCTTGAATTCTCTGGTCCCGTAAAACTACGCCGGATTGCTGTGTGAATCGTGGCAGTTCCTGGGGACCCGTATCTTCCACAGTGATCTTTGATCTTCCATCTGGAAGCAAGATTTCTTTCATTCTTTTTACTGAAGCTGTTCCAACCCCACGGCCTCTCTTGATTTTATTTATTATCCCACCTTTTGAATGTGGTTTTTAGTATCTTGGTGTGGTTATCTGAAAGGAACATCACGGTTACAAGTGGAGTTGGCTACTCAAACCCATTTATAAAGGGACTGTAACTTGAAATGATTCAGTTTGGTGGGGGTTGGGGGGACATGAGAAAGAGAATAGCCATACTGCAGTCCCTTCTCCTTCACTCTCTTTTCAGCATGAAATGGAATTTTCAACATGCATACACTTATCTGTCATGATTTTCTTTCTTTTTTTTTTTTTTCCAGAGAGATTTTTGCTATAAGGCACATGTGCTCACTGGAGAGACAGAGAGAGACAGGAAACAAAGTGAAAAATCACCCCCCCCCAGGGGTATGGCCATGCCACAATCCCTTCTCCTCCATTCTCCTCTTGGGATTTTGGGCACAC